CACACATGAACACGCACAAAAGGAAACAAGCAAACACTCGCAATATATCATTGTCATAAAAGCTAGCACACAGGGAGACTTGATAAACTTCCTTATCACAGCAGATCGATCGTAGCCTGCCTGCCAATGTCAACAGGGCAGGAAGTATAAGGTATACCATCAGATATCAATTTAATATTACGACACGACAGAATGCATGTATAATATTGTATTTAGAAGAAAACGTTGAACTGATACATGAGTTTGTATGAACAGTTCGTTATAATCTTACTCGACGGTTGGCAGAATTTGTTGTGGCCGCCTGGTGTCGGTTCAGCAGCAATCGGAGAGATTGTTTACGTTTCCATTGGAGACCTCGAGAAGGAAGTATGATCGTTTAAGATTGCAAGGAACATCGGGCTTTCCCGTTGAAGGGAAGTCACTCTTGTGTGTAACAAGGTATTTCAGGAAAAACACTCCCCCGTATAGAAATCCTTGATCTTGAAATTACAGCAGTGTGATAGCACATCCAAACAACAACAACAACAATAACTACAAGAACAACAACAACAACAACAATAGTAATGATACTGTTATGCTAATACTGATAAATAATAATAATTATAGAGAATCTGATGGTGGGGAATTTAGTGGGGATGAAGATTACAGTAATGATGTATATATGTGATAGACTATAAGTAATACCGTAGGATAGGTAGATCAAGTAATTTGATACTACTTTCAATAAATGGCTACAGATTCTATAATGTATACCGTAGTAAAACGCACAGCACAGCCCTTTGGTTTTTTCCTCTAGCAGCAGTCGTTCCTGGAAAAGTTCGTGAGGCATCACATTAGACCTTATTGTTTAACCACATATATAGGCTTATATACACATTATACAAGTAGATCTAGATCTATATAGCTGATGGGGAACTACTCGAAATCCTGATCCTTCCCTACTCTGCTTTTTCTACAATAATGGTGATGATGATGATGATGATGATGATGATGATGATGATGATGATGATGATGATGATATGCTAGTGCTGCTGCTGCTGTATGATGATAGCTCGACCTCACTTCAGACGCTGAAATAACAGCAACCTAACAACAACAACAACAACAACAACAACAATGAAGCCCAGCGATGTGCCACAAACAACAAAATTCCGTGGTCAAACAATCCTACTGGACACCGGCGCGATCACTTGTTCAACGTCTATTAATAGCAGGATTGATGTCTATTAATAGCATGACCAAGGTCTTCTTTCCAATTCCAGGTAAAAACATTGTATCTTGGACTAGTGCCAGAATATGTTGCAGAAAAGCCGTTCCTTAGACGAGATGAGATGTTCTATTTGCTACAATGCCTTTTTACATGAAAAGTCTACCTAATTTGTGGCAGAAATAGACTTCAGCTGCAAGAACAACACTGATGGCGGGGCTTGGAACGTTGATTTTAGAGTCAGAGGTTTGTGTCTTTTGTCGTGACTGTAGTAGCCTACTGTAGTTGCAGGGTAGGCCTGCGCTAGGCTAGATCTTGATCTATTTTTTTTATTCTAATCTAGATCTAGTTGTAGGACTGTAGGTAGAAGATAATCAAGTAATCTAGATCTAAATCAACCTGTTGTAACAGTACGTGAAGTACCGGGATCTAGCAGTCTTTCTAGGCATGTAATAATAAGTAGGCCTAGTTACTAGATCTAGACTAGATCTAGATCTCAGTACATATATATATATGGGCGGCACTATTTCTCCGAACGTTCAGGAAAATAAAGCTAGGCACTATTGAGTATTTCTCCGAACGTTCAGGAAAATAAAGCTAGGCACTATTGAGTATTTCTCCGAACGTTCGGGAAAATAAAGCAAGGCACTATTTCTCCGAACGTTCGGGAAAATAAAGCTGGGCACTATTTCTCCGAACACTCTGAAATCACATCCTTTCCCCCAAATTTCGGATATTATATAGATCTATAATTATAGTATAGGCCTACTAAAGATTGTTCGTATACAATATGGTTCAATCGGTCCAAAAAATGTCCGCAGTAAATATTTATATAAAGAAATGCTACAGTTCCAAACAGTTTTTCGCTAGAGATATGACGTGTGGCCTATGAAGGGTGCTGCTCTTAAACTTTATGTGTTGTGTTCACTCGTGTGCTGTTTAGATCTAGATCTAGATCTACGGAGGGTTATTGATAACGACACATAGAACTAGCATCTGCGTTTGTCGCGGCCGCGACCAATCAATCGTGGCCGCGACCAATCAATCGTGGCTCGATTTTTGGGCATTTTTTGGTCACCGAATCGGGGAAAAAAAGTCAAATAAAATTTTTTTTTTAAAAAGAAAGAAACCGAACCTCTTTACTTTTGAAAGAAAGTTCACCAAGCTCCACTTCGTCTCTTTCTCACTTGTTGTCACCACGTTTATTTGTTGAATACGTTACAGTTACTTTTATTTTTTCCTCTTTGTGGAGTTTTATTTTGTTAGTGTGTATTTTTTTCTTTCTTGTTATTGTTCTGATGTGTTGTTTTTCTATCAATTTTTTTGTTGTTGGGGAAAAAAGGGTGGGCCGAGGGGATGTTGTATAGTGTAACGTCATTTAATTTGATGGTCCTACCTTCATTAGATTCTAAATATATACATGTTAGAGCGTACGTTCCACCAAAATCGATTACATGTACTGACACTGGCAGGCCCACTTAATGTGTGTGATTCCATAATTTACATGTAATATCCTGTACTGTTTTAAAATTACGCACATTAAGTAGTTAAAACAGCCAATCTTCTTCGGACAGGTGGACTCATGGCACACCCTTATTTGTTAATTTTTGTGGTTGTTTCTGGGCTGTTCTAATTTTGATTTCATTCGGTTGTGAAACTTTTCTTTTTCACGTTTTTACACTCATCTAAAAATCTCTAGACTAGCTCTTGAAAATTGAAATAGATATAGATCTAGACCTAAAAATTTGCTCCTGTGTGTGTGTGTGTGTGTGTGTGTGTATGTGTGTGTGTGTATGCATGTGTGAGTGTGTCTGTGTGTGGCAGTAAGTGTGAAGTGGAGAGTGAGGAGCGTGTGTGTGTTTGTTTTTCGGGCTTTATTTCAGCCTTTATTCAGTAACAGTTCAAAGTATACAAAAATAGAAACACAGGATCCATTCACACCAGGGCTCATGAGTCATTCCTCTTTTTCAGTTTCACTCATTCATTCAATTCCCATGTTCTCTCTCGCGTCTCATCTCCGTCTGCATGACTTCCACTACCCTACCCCTCCCTCCACGCACACACAAAGAAAATCTCACTCATTCCCTTGCCACCCTGCGAACCATGGACAATAATATTAGCAAAACACTGCCTAGGCCTTAGCCGCATTCCTTTCGTTCGTGAGCTGTGGACCAGGCCAGGGGGGTCGGTGTCGTCCCCTTGTAGTTGCTGTCGCCTGTGGATACACTCGTACATTCTTCTACGGGGTACCCACCACGGATGGGATCGGCCGATCAGCCCGGTCGCCCGACTCGATCGCCTCAAAAACAAACGTGTTTGTTTTCAGTTTCAGGCGATCGAGTCGGGCGATCCCGTCCGTAGTGGGCACCCCGTATTCCTTTCACCTGCTCTGTCACTCACACAGTCTCTCCATCCACAGCTCAGCTCGTCATACGTTCAAAAGTTGCCCACTGATCATGTTTAGTTAGTGTGTGTATAAGTTTGTGTGTGTACATGTGCATGATGATGGTGGGTGTGTGGTGGGTGTTACAGAAGGTTGTCTGTAGGCGGGCTTGCCATGCGGTGTTCCTACCCAGTTCCCAGACCAGAGGCAGAATGAAAGTTGGCGCCGAACTCTTGCAATAAATAGACAAAAAATCACGAGACCGGAAGCCGGAAACCGTTCGGAGAAATAGTCACTTCGTGTATATATATATATATATATATATATATATATATATATATATATATAGATAGATAGATATAGGCCTACGACTAGAAAAGCAATTATAAAGACCACAGACAGATCCATCTCAAGTCTGCATTTCTTCACTCTCTCACTCTCTAATACAATGTACTGTTTGCACTCAGAAACTGAACAATGATAATGCACTTAATTGTACTTCCTTGTATGGGTGAGCCACATATATATGTGGCCTATCAACACTTTATAATTGTTGTCAGTGTATACATGACTTAATTATACACACATACATCTAGTCACGTCAACTGCTTGTATTTGATTGAGTGTATTTACCCTCTGCCATTATGTATTGTTTGTTTTTTGAATTGGTTGGTTGTTGTTTTTTTGTTTGGGGGGGGGGGGGGGGAGGGTTCTCTTTTGAAAGGGGGGGGGGGAGAATTAGGACGGTTTTTGTGGGACTTTTTTGTTGGTAGTTTTATTATTTCTTTTTTAAATCATGGTTCTGTGAAAGGTCAAAACAAATCGAAATATGTCCGACGAGGAAGACCAAGTGTCATGGGCCATAGTAAAACAAACGTACACGGGTCGCCACCGCTCAGGGAACGAGCAACGCTTCTGTCGCCTGTTTGGGTTGACTTCCATTGTTATGGACTGGGTTTACAGACTGAGTTGTGGGCGAGGCTTATAGGTTATGACGGATCACACGCTTCCCTTACCAGCAGCTGAAAATTTATTGTTACCCATTGGTCAACTTGGGTAAAGATTGGGAGTGACCTAAGCAACATGACCGTTTCATCCATTGGAGGGACTAACAATAACGACAGGTGAATGGAGGGACTGACAATAACGACAGGTGAATGGGACATTGGAGGGACTGACAACAACGACAGGTGAATGGAGGGACTGACAACAACGACAGGTGAATGGAGGGACTGACAATAACGACAGGTGAATGGAGGGACTGACAACAACGACAGGTGAATGGGTCATTGGAGGGACTGACAACAACGACAGGTGAATGGAGGGACTGACAATAACGACAGGTGAATGGAGGGACTGACAACAACGACAGGTGAACGGAGGGACTGACAATACCGACAGGTGAATGGGACATTGGAGGGACTGACAATAACAACAGGTGAATGGAGGAACTGACAATAACGACAGGTGAATGGGACATTGGTGAGACTGACAAGAACGACAGGTGAATGGGACATTGGAGAGACTGACAATAACGACAGGTGAATGGGTCATTGGAGGGACTGACAATAACGACAGGTGAATGGAGGGACTGACAATAACGACAGGTGAATGGGACAATGGAGGGACTGACAATAACGACAGGTGAATGGAGGGACTGACAATAACGACAGGTGAATGGAGGGACTGACAACAACGACAGGTGAATGGGACATTGGAGGGACTAACAATAACGACAGGTGAATGGAGGGACAAACAATAACGACACGTGAATGGAGGGACTGACAATAACGACAGGTGAATGGGACATTGGAGGGACTGACAATAACGACAGGTGAATGGGACATTGGAGGGACTGACAATAACGACAGGTGAATGGAGGGACTGACAACAACGACAGGTGAATGGAGGGACTGACAATAACGACAGGTGAATGGAGGGACTGACAATAACGACAGGTGAATGGGACATTGGAGGGACTGACAATAACGACAGGTGAATGGGACATTGGAGGGACTAACAATAACGACAGGTGAATGGAGGGACTAACAATAACGACAGGTGAATGGAGGGACTGACAACAACGACAGGTGAATGGAGGGACTGACAATAACGACAGGTGAATGGAGGGACTGACAATAACGACAGGTGAATGGGACATTGGAGGGACTAACAATAACGACAGGTGAATGGAGGGACTGACAATAACGACAGGTGAATGGAGGGACTGACAATAACGACAGGTCTTTCTTCGCACCACTTTCCTCTTGTCTTGTTTCCTGACTGCTTACATTTCAACCCTTTCTTCTGGTTTCATTGAATAGTATTTTGTATTCTAAACATTTCTATATATGCCACACAAGGTTTTCACCAAATTTATATATTTCTTCATTGATTTTTTTGTGAGACCACATGTGAGGTCACAAAACGGGTAGAACTTATCTGCGGGCTGAATCAGAGAAAGGATATTTTGCTCTATTCTTGTAATTTAGTCAACTTATAGTTTCAAGGATATTTCACTTTCTATCATCTATTGTAACTCATCGTTGAGACTCGGTTGTAAAACTGACAGCATGAAAAGCCCGCATTAAACCTATGTGTCTTTTCTCCTGCTCTGTGTTTAGAATATTGCAGGATGCTCGAGTGCCACTGTCAGGGACTATGTCAAGAGAGTGCTCACTTCAGAAATCAAGGACATATCTCGCTACGCTCTTATTCCACACATGGTGGTGGTGACTTTGGAAAATGTCGTTCAGGGTAAGTATTTAGCTGATGGAGTGAGAGAATAGAGGTGTTCAGGGTAAGTATTTAGCTGATGGAGTGAGAGAACGTAGAGAATAGAGGAGGTGTGTGAGAAGGAGAAAGAGCAGGAAGAGGCAGCTCCAAGTATTGTTGTTTTCTTCGGGTGTGTCAGTTGACACGTCAGACTCTGGCTTGGAAGATACAGTAAAAGCTGGCGGGTGGTTGGCAGGTGCTCTGATGTGGTGCACTCCTTCTTTCCTGTCAAACACAAATTTTTACTGTCCTTATCTTTCCTTCTATTTTGCATTTGTTACTCTCTTGTGACACCTTCAATCTTAGGCACTTACATGACCTTTTTGAGTGGCAAGTGCTATAAAAATTTCACTAAAATTGAACCCCCCCCCCCCACGAATAGTCAAAGAATGTCGCAAGTATGATATGGGAGTTATCCATTTGGACCTAATTTTTGGGGAGAAGATCCCTCGTATTATGGATACAGGGTATGGTTTTTTTAATGTGCATTCTGAAAAAAATGAGCTGCCCTGTTTACTGCACTGATCTTGTTGTGTGTGACAGAGCTGCCCTACCTTCTAGGATAGCTACCCTATCTTCTAGGATAGCTACCCTACCTTCTAGGATAGCTGCCCTACCTTCTATGATAGCTACCCTACCTTCTAGGATAGCTGCCCTACCTTCTAGGATAGCTGCCCTACCTTCTATGATAGCTGCCCTACCTTCGAGGATAGCTGCCCTACCTTCTAGGATAGCGATAGCCTTCCAACAGGCTCTGTTCACTTGATGCTTTACACGACAGCATTCTGAGATGTGGTGAAATAGATGAGAGTTTTCTTATAACAGGCTCTGTTCACTTGAAGATTTACGGCACTTTGAGATATGGTGGAAGACAAAAGTATGCACTTATGTTCTTGCCACTTTTACCTTCTTGTTTGATAGCACAAGTTATTTCAGTTGTATTTCAGTGGAGAAAATGCTGCAAGTTTTGCTTTCAATGTAATTATGTGCGACACCCAAACTTGTAGTATTGAAAGTAAAGAACATCATTAATGTCTTACTTTCAGAATCCATTTTTGATTTTATATATGTTGCCTATTTCATCTTATACTATATAAAATTGAATATGCACAAGCAGATTACAGAATGCGTGAATCACTTTTCCTGGCTAGCCTCACAGAAACTTTTGTTCATGAACTACGTGTCAAGTGTAAGTGCTTTGTGTTCATGAACTACGTGTCAAGTGTAAGTGCTTTGTGTTCATGAACTACGTGTCAAGTGTCAAGTGCTTTGTGTTCATGAACTACGTGTCAAGTGTAAGTGCTTTGTGTTCACGAACTACATGTTAAGTGTAAGTGCTTTGTGTTCATGAACTACGTGTCAAGTGTCAAGTGCTTTGTGTTCATGAACTACGTGTCAAGTGCTCCTCTGAGAGACATCATGAACGACGTGTCAAGTGCTTTGTGTTCATGAACTACGTGTCAAGTGCTCCTCTGAGAGACATCATGAACGACGTGTCAAGTGCTTTGTGTTCATGAACTACGTGTCAAGTGCTCCTCTGGGAGACATCATGAACTACGTGTCAAGTGTTCCTCTGAGAGACATCATGAACGACGTGTCAAGTGTTCCTCTGAGAGACATCATGAACGACGTGTCAAGTGCTTTGTGTTCATGAACTACGTGTCAAGTGTTCCTCTGAGAGACATCATGAACGACGTGTCAAGTGCTCCTCTGAGAGACATCATGAACGACGTGTCAAGTGCTTTGTGTTCATGAACTACGTGTCAAGTGCTCCTCTGGGAGACATCATGAACTATGTGTCAAGTGTTCCTCTGAGAGACATCATGAACGACGTGTCAAGTGTTCCTCTGAGAGACATCATGAACGACGTGTCAAGTGCTTTGTGTTCATGAACTACGTGTCAAGTGTTCCTCTGAGAGACATCATGAACGACGTGTCAAGTGCTCCTCTGAGAGACATCATGAACGACGTGTCAAGTGCTTTGTGTTCATGAACTACGTGTCAAGTGTTCCTCTGAGAGACATCATGAACGACGTGTTAAGTGCTCCTCTGAGAGACATCTTTCCAAACTGTTTCATTTTTGCACAAGTAAATAAAGGTTCTTTTTTTTTTGTCCCGTGTCCAGATTTTGGTGGCCATATTTGTTGGTTACATAAAAATGTATTGACATGGTGCAAATTATGTTTGCTAGAAAACCAAAGCAAGAAAAAGGGGAATTGTTTAGTCAGTTATGATGATAGTAATGATAGTGATGGTAATGGCGATGATAATCATGATTATTTAAGGTGACGATGATGATGCTCTGATGTTGGAAATAATGTGCATATATATTAGTTTTGTTTGTCTTAGTGTTGAGAGTTTTTCATTTTTGTTTTGTTTGGTCCTTACTCGAGATCCCCACCAGGCTGAAAGAAACGTTCTTGATATTTCTTCTGTAAACGTAGGAGCCTCACTGCAGCAAGTTTTCCCTGTGAAATTCTTTCCAGACTTTGGTGCGGCCGAGTCAGCGGTGAGTGTGTGCCCGCTGGTGGGGAAGTCTGTGTGTGTGCGGCTGGCAGAGAGCGGCTCGGCTCTTGTGGTCAGCGGCATGGAGCAGTTCCCTCTTCCCTGGGAGTGCCTCATAGACTACCTGGAGGTCTGCTTTGCCGATGGCAGACACTGCGTCTCCTACTGCACCGTTTGGCCCGACTCAGATTATGCCCTGGTCGATTTCCTCACTGATGAGTGGGCAGGTGATCTTTTCTTTTTTGGATGAGCTGTAACTGTGTTTGTTTTGTGTTGTCTTCCTTTGAAGCAGTATAAGATCCATAGAATAAGACTGACAGTGCGCTTCTCTTCCTCACAGCAGCAAAACGATTACATGAATGTGTTACAATATTTTATTTTGTACTTTGTCATTGTAACACTTTGCAGTCACACAGCCAGCAGTACAAAATACCCCATCTGGTCACCCCATCTGGTCACCCAGTACAAAATACCCCATCTGGTCACCCCATCTGGTCACACAGTACAAAATACCCCATCTGGTCACCCCATCTGGTCACCCAGTACAAAATACCCCATCTGGTCACCCCATCTGGTCACCCAGTACA